TTTCTTGGCTGTGGCAAGGTTTACAAATCTGTAAAAACCGCCACAGCAAAAATACCTCTGCTGGTTTAGGGACAAGGTGAATCGGGGTCTCCTAACATCTCTCAGGCAGTTCTCAGAGTGGGTTAACAATCAACTTGACTTTGCAAGGAACTCTGGAAATGGTAGCTCTATGAGGAGAACAGAGGTTTCCTGAACAACCCTTAAACTGCGTTTCCCAGGATTCTTTGGGGGAAGCCATGACTGTTTAAAGTGATGCAGTACAGGTTTAACTATATACAATGCAGACAAGGCCCGGCCTGCCTTATTCCCTGTTCTTATTCCCTGTTCTTATTCCCTGTTCGGCTTTGCTTGTGCCCAGAGGCCTCCACTTGTGCTAATGCTAAACAGGAGTGCCCTCTAAAGGCAGCCGAAGATACTTTTGCTTTTCCCTCAGCAGATAGATTTCCCCTCTCCGCTGGCTAAGCACTCTCTTCAACTGGCAGAAGACAAGCCCGACTGCAGGCTTCCCAGGTTCCTGGCTGGCTCCTGGCAAATCTCCTTCCCTTGTCCCACAGAAATAGTAAGATAAATAAATACATCTGAGAAAGGCAAGATAGAAGCAAATACAAATCAGGGACAAGCTGGGATTCCAAATTAAGCAACAGGGCACCCCAACTCTTACAGGCAAAAGCTAACCTGTGATGCATTGCAACAGGGGGACGATCATGCGCTGCCCTGGAATACCTGAAGCTGCCTTATGTTCACTGACGTATTCAATAAACACACGAGACGTAACCGGCTGTGTTCATAGATAATTAAGGTACACTATTCATTGTATCAAATTGTAAATTTCAACAGAAGTGACTCATTAAGTTCAACAAACGAACAAAGCAGAAGACCCAGTGGATCAGATCATTTTCTAGTGAGTTCATGCATAAGGTCCATCCGTGTAATGGTGTCTGTTCCACTTGTCTGTTCATAAGGTCCAAACAATCCACATGAAAGGTTGTTAAAGGTAAAAGTAAAGGTACCCCTGCCCGTACAGGCCAGTCGTGTCCGACTCTAGGGTTGCGTGCTCATCTCGCTCAAGAGGCCGTGAGCCGGCGCCGTCCGAAGACACTTCCAGGTCACGTGGCCAGCATGACGAAGCTGCAGCTGGCGAGCCAGCACCAGCGCAGCACACGGAAACGCCGTTTACCTTCCCGCTAGAAAGCAGTACCTATTTATCTACTTGCACTTAAGGGTGCTTTCAAACTGCTAGGTGGCCAGGAGCTGGGACCGAACGACGGGAGCTCACCCCGCCGCGGGGATTCAAACTGCCGACCATGCAATCAGCAAGTCCTAGGCACTGAGGTTTTACCCACAGCGCCACCCACGTCCCTGAACAACTGAAAGGTTGTTACAGTTCCACAAAATCCTTTCACAGAGTCTAGACAAGGATTTCCGGAATATTGGCCTTGTTTCGCCGTCCTGGGCTTCACCAGCAGTTAAAGCACTAAGTAATGCAAATAAATATGTTCACTGACAGTCTTTGGCTGATTAATATCCTACTGCCTTTTAAATGCATCTGTGGGAAGGGGGTGTTACTGTTTTGTTGTTTTGGTTTAATTATTTACTTGCATTTTATTCTGTAGGACCACCCTGACATCTTTTGATGAATGGCGGCATATACATTTAACAAATGATAATAATTTTAATAATTTTAATAATAATAATAATAATAATAATAATAATAGCTCAGTATTGTCCACACAGGCAGGCAGCAGCTCTCCTGGGTTTCAAACATTACCAGCCCTACCCAGAGATGCTGGGGATTGAACCCAGGACCTTCTGGGTTCTGCATGCAAAGCAGATGCTCTTCTCACTGAGCTACGGACCTTCCTCTATAATGGGCCTCTAATGGTGGGACTACTGAAGACCACCAGTCAAACCAGTGGCAAGGAAACCCAGACACCAACCACAAATCAGCATTTTCACACCCAAGACTCAGCAAAAAGAAAGGAAGGAAACCTACCCCATCCTTCCAGCCTCCCAGTTCTCATGCTTGGTAAGAACGTTAGAAAAGCCCTCGCTGGATGAAACCAAAGGTCTATCTGGTCCAGCATTCTGTTCTCTCGGTGGCCAGCCACATAAGCATGATATGAACGCAATAGCCCTCTCCCCACAAATAACCCAGGGATGCATTTTAAATAAAAGGACACATTCTACAGGTTGTACAATGACAATAATGGATTATTATTATTATTATTATTATTACTCATGTAAAAACATGCTGATTCCTGGACCGTCCATGGGCTGGGTTGAGAAGGTGATTGAGCCGCATCCGGCCCCCGGGACTTAGGTTGCCTACCCCTGCTCTACAAGGTTGAAGGAAATGCAGAAACCTCCCTATTGTCTCTGTACTCACAAATCCTGCCTTAAGGACGCATTTAAGGTGTGAATAGGGTGAGCCTGTGACCTGGCTCAGGAATTAAGTATCATAGGCGCCGACTCCATGGGGCTTGAGGGGGCCCGAGCCCCCTCAAAAATTCGTTTGGGGGGGCTCCGCCCCCCCAATAATCTCCGGCGCCCCTCCAGCAGAGCGCCATCGCCGCCCCTCCCCCAGCCCAAAATGCACAGGGAGGGGCGGGCTGCATGCTTCCTGCCCTCCCTCCCGAGCAAAAGCTCCACCCAATTTCCTTTGGAGCTGATTAATAGGCGCAGCACGCTCTCCCCTATTCGCTCACGAGGAGGCGGCGCCACTTTATTTGCATATTCATGAGCTTATTTATTATTCATGAGCTTTCCCGGGGCCCCCCAATATTTTTTATAAGTCCGCGTCCCTGTTAAGTATTATCATTACAAAAGGATGGCCAGACGTCCCAGGTAATCCAGTCAAGTGACCATTAACAGGTAACCTGGCAGACAGGATAAAAACAATGCACTCAGATTTCTGTTGTAGACCGCCTTTTCTGTGATGTAGGTATGATGTATCTGGGGTGTGGTCTTGGACTCCAGGGTGAGCAATTTAAAATGTCTATATAAGAGTGGGCACACCTTTGTTCTGGGTCCTCCTCCTCTCTCCTGCATGTGGAGGAGCACCCTGTTGCAAAAGTTTAATAAAGATCAGGCTTACTAGCTGCTTTGCTTCTTAATATTCTCTGGCTGGCCTCTGTTATTTTCTCCTACAGATGGAGAACCTACAAAGGACTCTATAAGGGCTCTTGTGTACCCCATAAGGGAATAAGGGCAGATTTTGTTTACAACAAGCGCAATTTGGGAAGGGTGCTGGCTGCTCATGGTGGGGTGGGGAGGAGTTCTGTTGCGGAAGCAGGAATCCTTGCACTGATGGAACGCTTTAGTTAGAATCATCCCAAGCAAGCCTTATGAGGAGCGTTTGAAGGAGCTGGGTATGTTTAGCCTGGAAAAGAGGAGACTGAGAGGAGATGTGATAGCCATCTTCAAATCTCAATACACTGCTCAGCATACTGTTCATGCAAAGTGATCTGAAAGATCCTTTTAATATGTCCTTAAAGCTTCCCCCGCCACATATATGCGTACTCCTCACCACTAACCCAGCAAACTTTGCTTGAGGAAAGTTGGATGTTCTGCAGCAGAATTCCAGCATATGATTTTAGGCTTTTAAGGAACCCAAGCCCTTTGTAAGGATAAGACAAGAGCTGGCCAGCCCGAGAGCATTACAACAGTTTTACTGCTAATGGCTTGTTGCATCAAGACTGAAGTGCTGTTTATTATTCCTACAGCTGCACCGGCCTCAAGGACGTCCAAATGAGTTCCAGCACGATTCCAGCAAGGCGGCCTCCCGGCTCCCCGTCTTCCCCCAGACAATTTTGCAGGGTCCAAACTTCCAGTGAAGATGCTACTTTCCATCACAGCAACTGCCACAGGTCCTCTTCCCCGCTAAGTAAGTATTCAGCATTTTCCATTTCACCAATCACAGCCAAGGTCAGCGGGGCCAGAAGCCCCTCCCTCCACTGGTTTTGTCTACCTCCTCCCGTGTTGCCACAGAGACATCTCTCCCCTTGCCCCACCCTGCCACTAATCAACTGCATAATGAAACAGTGCAAAGAAGAGTCTGTGCCACCACAGCAGCGGCAGCGAGCTCTACACGCCCCTAAAAGTGGGAACTGTGACAACAGAGAAACGTACCAGGAGATAACCATGCTTCAGGAGGCAGGAGATTTCATACATCAAGTGGGGGACCAACACGTCGGGCAAGCACACATGCTCCCCCATCAACTTTGCTTTCCTGATAATCATACTAGCGGAAGTAGAATGCTCACATTCAAACAGGGAAGGCACAGCTAGCGAGGTGCCCCTGATCTTTGCTGGACTACAGCTCCCATCATCCCTGATTATTGGCCACGCCGGCTGGGGCTGATGGGATTTGTAGTCCAAATAAACGTCCAGAGGAGGACGCGATGGGTACCTTTGAAACAGGGCCTCCTACACACAACCTGACTTTTGTGTCCAAACAGTTTGAATTAGCTTTGAGAACATTGGAGCCTTGAGAACATTGGCTCAGAAGGCAATCAATAAACTGTAATAAAAATAAGAACAACAGCAACCAAAGAAGCTGAATGCTGGGAGGTTTGGGACAGATAAAGGAAGCACTTCCCGTGTCAAATAGCTCCAGTTCTAGAATTGCCTGCCATAAGAGATGGCTGCCAACTTGGACGGCTTTTAAAGGGGATTAGCAAATTCGTGGTGGGTAAGACTATCGATGGCACCCAGCCATGGTAGCTGTGTGCTACCCCACCAAGATCAGAGGTACCACGCCTCTGAATACCACCAGCCACTAGGGGGGAACAGCTGCATCAAGGAGGCCGTTGCCTTCATAATCCTGCTTTCGGGTGGGCTTCCTGCTGGCATATCTGGAAAACCAGACGCTGGACTAGACAAGCCTTCAGCCTGCTCCCGCTGGACCTATATGTTTTGAGGCGCGGGAGGAGAGGCTTCCCTGAAAGCGTGCACCCTCCACCCACCTCCCACAAGCAAGGGGAGAAGTGAGCGCTGCTGACCTGTCAGGGACACAAACTGCCCTCCGGCGGAGGCTGGAAATCGGAAGACTGTCTGCTGTGCCTGCTGCACCTGTCCAGGTGTGGCTGCAGCGGCCGCCTGGCCCTGCTGGCTGCAGAGGGCAAGGGAGTGCGGCTGCAACTGAGTGAGAGGAATGGTAGGGGTCCCGGGAGGGAGTGGAGCACCTGCCGGAAGGAGGGAGAAAAAAATAAAGCCTTTTTTAAAAAAAATCAGGGGCCAGCTGGTTTTTTTATTTTTGTTTTTAGCTTAGGCTGAGTTTCCTCCCGGTTATTATTATCTGTTATCACAGGCCCTTGCTGGGAGGAAGAGGAGGGAAGGCTCCACATCCCAGCTCCGAACCCTACAATTCTCACAACCAGGTGTGCCACACACAAAAAGAGGAATAGTCATGGCAGAGGCCCTTGGGAAGATCTCCTCTTCCCCACAGGAGCCACGGGGTGGCGAATTTGCAGCCACGGAATTTCACAGGCTTCCAGGATTCACCTCACAACTAGGCCTCAAAGCCACACTCTCCCTTCTGAACCAATCACATTCGAGAGAGCACAGCGCCAGCATTCCTATTCCAGCCTCTCCGGAGCAAAAGAGGGAGGTTGAGGCTAAAAACCGGAGGGTTCCACAGGGAAAAAGCAGGAAAGTGCCTCAGTCGGCAAGAGGGAAACTGACCTGACATGAGGGTGAAGCCGGTGGGTATCTGCATTAGCCCTCCGGAGGCCACTGCACTGGTTCCCGTGGTTTTCAGCACCGTCCCGTTGGCACTGGTTACCGTGTTGGGGCTGACACTGGCAGAGACTGGCGATAGGTAGTTGGTGATGGGGAACGAGGGGCCGCTGCTGACCTGCATGGAGGTGGAGGTGGTGGGCGCCGTCTGGATGGTCGACGTCGTCCCTGGCAGGTTGGTGACGGTGAATGCAGGCTTCAGCGAGTCCTGCAAGAGAAGGGCAACTCACGTTCAGAACAGGCGCGACGCCAGAAAAATCTGAATTGCCGCAACCAACCTCCGTGTGAACCCTGCTGCTCCAGCCGTACAAACTGCCCAGTACCAAACGCGGCAGAGAACAGTCCCCGGGGCTGAATGTTTTCGTCGAAACATTCAGCTCTGTTCTAATTTACGTGGAGCCACCTTTGGGCTGCTGGAAGGAAGGAGGGAAGGATGCGGGGTGTTTGTTTTGATCTGCGACATGAGCCAGAAATCTGCAGCCAAGGAAGAGGCCAGTTGAGTATTTCTGCTAAGCGATGAATCAATCTCTCTCTCTCTCTCTCTCTCTCTCTCTCTCTCTCTCTCTCTGACACACAAACACACACACACCCCAGCACAAAGTCCAAAAACTGGATCCACTGAGGCAGAAATGTCCAGTGGACATCAAACTGACATCAAACTTACTTCTCATTTTTCTACCCAAGCCCTCCTCTCTGCATAAGCCTGATCATTGTGTTATCAGCCATCCTGTTGAAAAGGCCTTTCTTTATCTTTTTTTAACAAAAATTAATTCATTTTTCTTTTTCATTCATTGCATACATCTCAAATTCTTAACATTTACTATATATTCCTCCCTCCCTCCCCTGCAAGACTTTCCCCAACTTGCGCTTCTGGATTGTTTCTGTTTTCACCCACTTTGCTATCTCTCAACAGAAAAAGTTATTAATAACATAACATCAAACCTAAAAACATAAAAATAAAAGCGAATACACCATCCTATTTCACTATCTTCTAAACATTTTTTGATGCTGATACAGTGGTACCTCAGGTTAAGTACTTAATTCGTTCCAGAGGTCCGTACTTAACCTGAAACTGTTCTTAACCTGAAGCACCACTTTAGCTAATGGGGCCTCCTGCTGCTGCCATGCCGCCGGAGCACAATTTCTGTTCTCACCCTGAAGCAAAGTTCTTAACCTGAAACACTATTTCTGGGTTAGCGGAGTCTGTAACCTGAAGCGTATGTAACCCGAGCTTACCACTGTAATGTGAATGTTTATTTAAATGGCCTTTCTTTATCTTTGACACACATCTATTCCTTTGCTCCCCACATTCGACCTGCAGCCACTGTCATGCCGCTTCTCCAATCACAGCACTGCAAAAAAGCAGCCCTCCTTCTCCTTCCCCTTGACAAAAGGTCTGGTCCATGCCCTGGCCATCTTTCACTGAGACTACTGCAGCCCTTCTCCACGCTGGTCTGCCGTCCTCTCACCTTGGTCCTGTTGCATCAGTCTAGCGCTCATCTGCTGCCAAAGTCCCTCACAGTTCCGATTACATGCTTCTCCCTCTTCAACCTCCAACAGTATCCGCTTCCAGCCCAAGTTTGTCAGCCCTCTACAGAGTTGACTCCTCTTTACAATTCCCACTACCCCACTGCCTCTGAATTTCGCTCCTCCAGCCTCTTAACACCTGAGAGGACTCTAGTCCTTCTCCCCTGCTGCCCCAGATGCTTGAAATTGCCTCCCAAAGCAGCCAGCACACCACCTTTCTTACTCCCCTCAAATCTTGGAAGCATAAGCACACGCAAGAGAAACCATTGTTTTCCTGTTTGCCATTGGCTGCACTTCCGTTCTTTCCCTGTTGTGTCCCCACTCCGTGTTAAGCTCCCCACCCACCTGCAATTGTAAGCTCCTCACGGCAGGGAGACAGACACGTCTGATGGTGATACATATTTATCTACCGCTAGGAGCCGGGCCTTTCCTGTCAAAGCGCCAGCCCTATGGGAACACAGCCAGGCTCAAAACACAACTTGGTTCCGGGCACTAGGCCAAATCCTGGTCCTTACATAGGAACGTAGGAAAAGTGAGTCAGACGACTGGTCCATCAAGCTCAGGGCTGACTGGCACTTGCTCTCTAGAGTTCCAGACGGGAGAAGTTCCCAGTCCGTAGATGCTAAAGGATTGTACCTGGGACCTTCTGTAAACAAAAGAGGTGCTCTACCGCTATTTTAAAGTGGAGCTGAACTTGTGGAGGCTCACCCACGTTAACGCTCGACTCTGGTTTTTGCGGAAGAAAAATATCAGTGGTACAATGAGAGCTGTTTCTCAGGGCTGAAGTCCTGGACCTCGTAGAATAAGGAAACCCCAAATAGCCACCCAGAAGGTAACACACAATGGAAAAAGCAGCAAACAGGCTCAGTGTCAGCACCTGGGCTGGTACCTCAGAGCATCTTCTCTTTCCTTTTATTTTTAAGAACATACAGTGGTACCTCGGGTTAAGTACTTAATTCGTTCCACCAAAGGTCTGTTCTTAACCCGAAACTGTTCTTAACTTGAAGCACCACTTTAGCTAATGGGGCCTCCCGCTGCCGCCGCGCCACCGGAGCATGATATCTGTTCTCATCCTGAAGCAAAGTTCTTAACCCGAGGTAATATTTCTGGGTTAGCGGAGTCTGTAACCTGAAGCGTATGTAACCTGAAGCATATGTAACCCGAGGTACCACTGTATTATATTGGGGGGGCAGCCAGCCAACGGGTATTTACATAGCTGCAGATGCTCATTGCCTGATTTTCCATCTTTCAAAGCATGTTGCCGTCTTATGCCACAAAATGGTGCTCCTACTCCCAAGAAAACATGCTTAGCTGAAGTAAAATCCATTTGACTCCCGTATCAGCGGAATAGCAGCAGAGCGTAGGGAGAATCACTGCATCTCACTGTTCCACGTCTTGAGCAAACGGCAAACATTTGGTGATACGTGAGATCTTACTACTCCCTGGGAGACTCTAGCCATTGAGAATCTTAGCCTTCTTGCGTTCACATTCTGGCTTGGATTCTTGGTCATGCTAAAATGTGACAGAATGCCGGGAACTGGGTTTGTTTGTTTTTAATTTAAAAGAGAGAGAGAGAAATATGTATATAAAGTTCTTGACCTTTAAAGTCTGCTTAACTGGAATGGTGGAAACTAACCCTTGGGAATGGTCTGCTCTTGGTCCCTGCGGGTCAGCATGCCTGCACCTTCCACGCCTGGGAAAGGGTTAATGGGTTTTGTGTGATGTCTGTGCTCTGCCCACCCCATGCAGATTGGCGGGTCTGGAGCTCCCATGTGCTCCTCCAGGCTCCTGACCTGACACTCTGCCAAAATCAAGGAATTCACAGCTCGACTAACATCTAAAAAAGGAAAGGCAGCCCATTTTGGACAGAGGCAGCCAATCCAGATCACCCTTCCCTGCTGCATGGAGGGAGTGTGGAGGAGAAGGAGGGGGGGGGAGGAAGGGGAGAGAAGAGGTGGGGAGGGCTGCCCAGCAGACGCCAGCCCCCAATTCCTTTCCAGTCCTGGCACTGAGATCTGTGTAGATGGAATTAGGATGAGCATGTGATAATGGTACATAGCCCGGCAAATTAACTTTCCATTATCTCAGCTGCAACCTCCTTTCCACTAGAGAAGGGGGAGAGCTGTTACTCACCCCCCCACCCCCCAAAATGCCACCCACCACAAGAGGGAGGGCAATTGCCTGCCACGGGGAAAGGGCAGGAGCAGGTCGCTATTCTGCACAAACACACTTAACGCTGGGCTTATTTGGGGGGGGGGGTGAAGTGGGGGCTACATGAACAAGTGGCCTGAATTTCTCATAGATCAAGTCTACAAAAACTAGGGGGGAGCAACAACCCCACGGCATCAGTTCTCCGAATAACTATGGTTTCATTTACAATATTTTTATGCCCACCCTTCCTTCAAGAGCTTGGGGCTCTGTACAATGGCTATTCCCTCCCTTTTTTATCTTCACAACAACCCTGTGAGGTAGGCTATGCCCGGAAGAGCCACTGGCCCAAGCTTACCAAGTGTGCTTCAACACCGAGAAAGGGTTTTTTAAAAAATAATTTTTATTAAATTTTCCACTTTAACAATCCAATCAAATCACATTAAATATTCCAGATTATGCATATACATATCAAATAATCCGAATATTCTGACAAATTATAATTTTTAAAATAGGCCTTCCCATGCTTCCAGGTTTGGAGGGATTTGAATTCAGTTTTCCCTGGTCTTAGTCCAACACTCTGAACCACTAGCTTTTAAATCCATTGGCTGGGAAGCCAATGGGTCTCCGAGTCACCGGCCAATCATGCAAAGACTGGCCTCTCATATGGGTTTGGCAGATGACACCATGGCCGACTTGCTATGTGCTGCAGCAGTGGGGCACCTATGGTTCCCCAGATGCTGTGGGACTCAAGCTCCCACCAGCCCCAGCCACTGTGGCCAATGGTCAGAGATGACACGAGGTTGTAGCCCTAACAAGATCTGGAGGGCCACAGGCGATGCAGGCAGACACCATCTCCAACCAACAGGATAGGGAAGCTTACAAACATGGCGGTTATGGTCTGAGGGTACATGAAGCTACCACTTTGCTAAAGCTAAGCAGGTCTGGATCTGGTCTGTGCCTGGATGGGAGACCACATGGGAAACACATGGGTTTCCTAGACAGAAGAAAGATGGGATATGAATGTATGTCTGTCCTCTTGTCACTCACTTTCAAGAACAGATATTGCTAACAAATGAGTGTAAGTGGCATAGTAACTAACTAACGAACTTTATTTATTTTCTATAGGCTTATTTGCAAGGCTGGAAGAGGCTTTATTTTAATGCTTGTCCATGGGTATGTTTACATGATGTCTGGAGCATCCTCTTGACAACCTAGTATGTGCAAAGTTGCTATAACCCATCACAGCAGGTCGCTGGCCTCACCAGTTCAGGCAAATCCACATCCTTCCCCATCCACCCCTCCTGGCAAAACATAGGAATATTGGAAACTGCCTTACACAGAGTCAGGCCAGTTGTCCACCTAGCTCAATATTGTCTGAGTTCCTGGAAAGCAGCTGCCAGTCAGTGTGGACAAGAACGTCTCCCAGCCCTACTGGAGATGCTGGGAGATTAATCAAGGGACCTTCTGTCTCTGATGCTCTGCCCCTGAGCTACAGAGGTAATAAGATAACCATCCATGGTTTCCGAGCAC